AGAACGAGCTGGAATTTTCAGCATGTATACATTATTGAAACAGCGCCGTCTACGCTGGCTTGGGCACGTTGTGAGAATGGCTGATGGTCGGATTCCAAAAGATCTCCTGTATGGAGAATTAGTGCAGGGAAGCCGCCCCAGAGGGAGACCACAGCTGCATTACAAGGACATCTGCAAACGGGATCTGAAGGCCTTAGGAATGGACCTCAACAGATGGGAAACCTTGACGTCTGAGCATTCAGCCTGGAGGCAGGCGGTGCATCATGGCCTCTCCCAATTTGAAGAGACATTTGTACAGCAGGCCGAGGCAAAGAGGCAGTCCCGAAAGAAGCAAAACCAGGGAGCTGGACAGGGGACAGATTGGATTTGTCTTCAATGTGGAAGAGATTGTCACTCTCGAATTGGCCTTCTCAGCCACACAAGACACTGTTCCAAGACCTTCATACAGAGCACGTTACCATAGTCTCTCTAGACTGAAGGATGCCTATGATGACTGAAATACACCCACATTTTTATGGCATATCTTAACTCAAGAGAAGGCTAATCAAAACCATTCTCCCAATTCTGTGGCATTTCTGAACATTGCACTGTAAAACCAGCAGGGACCCTAAAGTCAGCTTGAAAATACCCAACCTGATCATATATTTTTGAAAGATGAAATACTCTTAAAGAGAGGAAAGAGGCTGGAACTGCCAGCTTTGTTATGCTAGTTCTCTTCCCCGCCAACTTTCTGTACCAAGCGGGCACAGATTAGGAGGCTGAAAAGTTTATCTTTTCCTAAGGCTCCATCAGTGTTGCCGGTAAGGCTGCTTGGCTCTCCTCCCCTTGACATGATGAAAAGTATAAGCACAAAAGTCTGTCTATCTTAACAGGCTGACAAGCCTGGAGTCATTTGGTTAGGGAGGCCCCCCCAGAACCAGTGGGAAATGGGTCGTGGCTGGAGGAGGGGGAGAAAAAGAGGCAGGCAGCAGCTGAAAGACTGAGATGGTCGGGAAGAAAGAGGGCAGTTGGAGTTGAGTGAGTGTCCGACTTCAGGGGCAGGGGAGAGTCTCAGCCCCTCTTTTGGTTCTGAAAAAAATGCAGGGACCCCAAGCCTCCCCCCGGCTCTTCCCCCTTCGCCCTGAGCATCCTCAGTTCGGCGAGTATGGAGAGCGCTCGCTCACCCTCCTGCACACGTTCCTCCTCCCCAACAACTGGCCCCCGACACCCACCAACGATACCCCACCAAAAGAGGAGGAGGAGGAGGAAAGCAGTGTTTTTTTGGTTTTGGACTTTCACGTTCCTGGCAGACTGCTCCATCTCTTGCTTGCACAACCTCTGTGGTGGTGAGTGCGTGCAGGGGGGCAGGAGGTCTGTCACGTGGCCCGTTTGGGCTCAGGCGACGGGTCTCGGACCAGGGATTCACAACCTCTGCTTTAGCAGACCATGTGCATTACAATGAGCTGCAACACCATGTCAGTATAGCTACGACCCAACCTGGCTTTAGAGATTATGGTCAGGCATTTTTACCTGCTAGCTATTTGAATATTCTGACCCTTCCAAAATATAGAAAAGCTTTTACATTAGCAAAGTTTAATGTACTTCCTATTCGTCCAATTTTGCAATGCATCCCCAGTACAGATGATGAGTACTGTACATGTTATCTGCTAGCAGACCAATGTCCATCAGTAACGATTAAAGTGGCCAGCTTCTGTGCAGCGGCACTAGTCTTCAGGCGAGAAATGGTGCCTTAATCCTGTAGATATATACATGTATGTATCCATATATGAATATGTATGAACTGGGGGTAGGGGTATATTCCTAACATTTATTTATGGAATTTGTTCCCCTAGGAGTCTGCTGCACACAATGTATATTATAGTTGTATTGATTCTGTTTATTCTTGTGCGGTTGTTCTGTATTATTAACATCTGATCTGTTGATCGTAATATTCATGCCCCATGATCTTCTAATTAGCTCCCTGATAGACAGAGGGAATACTCTAGACATATTCTATGTTAAATAGAGTAAAGTTTTTGAGCATGTGCCCCATGAGGTCCTGATTAGCAAGCTTACTAGGTGTGGCCTGGATAGATCAAGTGTCAGGTGGATACACAGTTGGCTACAGTATTGTACTCAAAGGATGATGAGTAATAGCTCCTTCTCTAACTGGGATGAGGTCACAAGTGGGGCACCCCAAAGATCACTCCTGGGCCTGGTGCTCTTCAACATTTCTGTTAATAATGTGGATTGGTGATGCAGGGAATGCTAATCAAATTTGCAAATATCACAGAATTGGGTGGAGTAGCCAATACTCTTAAATTCAAAATGAACTTGATAGGCTGGAGCCCTAGGCTGAAAGCAACAGAATGAAATTTCACAAGGAGAAGTGCAACACGACATACAAGAAGGATCTGGGAATTGTCATGGATTAAAAGGTAAATATGAGCCAACAGTTTCATGTGGCTACAAAAAAGGCCAATGCATTTTAGGCTCACTGTGAGTTCATTGATGGGAACTCAGGGTACTGCTGTGATTGAAGCTCTTTCCACATTCTAAGTATTTATATGGTTTCTCCCCAGTGTGAATTCTTTCATGTGAACTCAGGTTACCGCTCTGAGTGAAGCGCTTTCCACATACCATGCATTTATATGGTTTCTCCCCAGTGTGAGTTAATTGATGGGAATTTAGGTGGCTGCTCTTACTGAAGCCCTTTCCACATTCCATGCATTTATATGGTTTCTCCCCAGTGTGAGTTAATTGATGGGAATTTAGGTGGCTGCTCTTACTGAAGCCCTTTCCACATTCCATGCATTTATATGGTTTCTCTCCAGTGTGAGTTAATTGATGTGAATGCAGGTTACTGCTCTTACTGAAGCACTTTCCACATTCCATGCATTTATATGGTTTCTCCCCAGTGTGAGTTCTTCGATGTGAACTCAGGTGACTGCTGTGAGTGAAGCTCTTCCCACATATCATGCATTTATATGGTTTCTCCCCAGTATGAGTTCTTTGATGGGAACTCAGGGAACTGCTGTGACTGAAGATCTTTCCACATTCCATGCATTTATATGGTTTCTCCCCAGTATGAGTTCTTTGATGGGAACTCAGGGAACTGCTGTGACTGAAGATCTTTCCACATTCCATGCATTTATATGGTTTCTCCCCAGTATGAGTTCTTTGATGGGAACTCAGGGAACTGCTGTGACTGAAGATCTTTCCACATTCCATGCATTTATATGGTTTCTCCCCAGTATGAGTTCTTTGATGGGAACTCAGGGAACTGCTGTGACTGAAGATCTTTCCACATTCCATGCATTTATATGGTTTCTCCCCAGTATGAGTTCTTTGATGGGAACTCAGGGAACTGCTGTGACTGAAGATCTTTCCACATTCCATGCATTTATATGGTTTCTCCCCAGTATGAGTTCTTTGATGGGAACTCAGGGAACTGCTGTGACTGAAGATCTTTCCACATTCCATGCATTTATATGGTTTCTCCCCAGTATGAGTTCTTTGATGGGAACTCAGGGAACTGCTGTGACTGAAGATCTTTCCACATTCCATGCATTTATATGGTTTCTCCCCAGTATGAGTTCTTTGATGGGAACTCAGGGAACTGCTGTGACTGAAGATCTTTCCACATTCCATGCATTTATATGGTTTCTCATCAGTGTGAGTTCTCTGATGGCGACTGAAGTTACTGCTCTGATTAAAGCACTTCCCACATTCCATGCATTTATATGGTTTTTCCCCAGTGTGAGTTCTTTGATGGGAAACGAGGCTACTGCTCTTACTGAAGCTCTTTCCACACTGTAGGCATTTGTACTGTCTCTCACCCCTCAGGGATGTTTCATGTGAACTACAATGACTGTGCATTGTTAAGCTCTTTCCTTGTTCAATGTGTTCACTTCGTTTCTCCTCTGGGTGGACTTTACCAAGTCTATTGTCATCTGAGGCACCCTTGAATGTTTATCTTCCCAGGGAACCTTTTCTCCTTCCTTTTCCCTGTTGATTTTTTCAGATGATCAGAAGTGCATCAACATCAATAGCAGGAGAAGCTGGAGATTTCTTTTTCCATCTTGTTTTCTGGCTTCCCTTCTTCCCTTTTCTGCCTTTTAAGTGTGTCAATTTTTTTTGCCCTTCATACTTTTTTTTCCACTGAAAGAACGACTGGCTTCACAGAATTCCATTTGTCCTCTTATTCACCTGATGGAGAAAAACAAAGAGATGAAAGATGAAATCTTGTAAACCTAAAGCCAACAAAACAAGACGGAAAGAATCAGGCATATTTAGCTTTGAGAAAAGAGGCCTCAGGGGAGACATAATAGAACTCTTTCCTAAAGATGTTCCTGAATTAATTTGGGCCCCATCCGGCATAATCCATGTACGCAGAATTAGAGTTGAAGCACATAAACGCTCCCACATCCCACAGGCCAGCTGGGCCAGTCATGTCTCACTGTGCAGTGCTGGGGACCTTATTCTCCAGCAGTGCACCAATCCAGAATGGAGCTCTGCTGGCCCGTCCTTGCCTCTTCCTGCAGTCGACCAATCACTAGCTTAGTGGGGAGAATCCTTGTCACACTTTCTCATGGGAGTAGTCAGCTGCTGGAGGAGGCAGGGAAGGGCAGAGCCACTTCCGAGAGTGGAACACCGACAGAGAAGAAGGACCTTGGTAGTTCATGACAAATTGTGAGTGGCTCGGCCGACCTGCGGAGTATGAAGAGGTTATGAACTTTGTTGGCAGGGTTGGAATTAATTTGGGCCCTATAAAACCCCAGGCCAGGGCCAGGAGGCTTATGTAGGAGTGCCACTGCACCCGTCACGTTCTAACGCGACTCAGACTTCCCCCCACCTTCTCCACCTAGAAAAGAGAACAAACAGGTGGAAACAAAAGCTGGACACATGAGAGGAAAAGAAGGGCAGAGACATGCTTATGTAGGAGTGCCATTGCACCTGTCACGTTCTAACGCGACTCAGACTTCCCCCACCTTCTCCACCTAGAAAAGAGAACAAACAGGTGGAAACAAAAGCTGGACACATGAGAGGAAAAGAAGGGCAGAGACATCAAGGGGTGGATACTAGGCATCTGGTACATGTGATGAAAGGGTTAAATGCATCCTAGAAAACCAGGAGAAATTTGGTGGGAAAGGAGGGAGGGGAGATAGAGGCGAGGGCAGGGGATATAAGGGAGAAGCAGGACAAGATCCCGGGAGGTTGGGAAATGATATGGGTCCAGGATCCCTGGACAGGAAACTGGGAGCAGGTAAAAGTTCCCCATGAAGAGGCGGAGAGAAGGAGATGCCAGGGACAACAACCCCATCCATCTTATTGGGGAGAGACTGAGGCGAAAGATTGGAGGCAACGGTTAAGAGAGAAGCGAGAAGTGGTGGCGAGAGAGCTGGAAGCAAAGAAAGCATGGCATTTCACGGAGCTGCAGAAGATGGGGGTCTACCTGGACCGTGGCTGGCCAGTCCGGGAGAGGGTTCCCTATTCTGGGGTTGGAGTGGGGACGAGGAGACCCTTCCACTACTAGAGCCAGAAGGAGATAATGGCGAAGAACCGGTCACAGAGAAAATATTACAGTGGGAGCTTGACTTACAAACTTAATCCGTATTGGAAGGCAGTTTGTAAGTCAAAAAGTTCGTAGGTCAAATCTGCATTTCCTATAGGAATGCATTGAAAACCATTTAATCCGTATCTGCTCTTTTCCGTCCATAGAAACTAATGGGAAACTTATGGGAAGCTGCTTTTCCGCCTTCTACCACTAGAGGGGGATATTTTTTCTTTTTTTCTTAGGTCAAGAAAAGATCAGGAAAGGAGGCAGAGGTAGGGAACAGTTTTAAAAGCATTTTTGAAATCTTTTTTTCCAATGAAGCCAATTTTAAAGCATGTTTTAAAGCACGTTGTGCTGATTTTTTCAGCATAAAGACACACAGGCAGGCTTTTTAGGTGCTGAGCAAGCCTTCCCAAGCCTCTTCAGAGCCAGCTGATCAGCTGTTAGGCGGGGAGAAGAGCACAAAATGGCTGCCAAACTCCTTTCTTGGTGTCAGCTTTTATCTGTTTGATGCTCTTTTTCCTGCAGTTCGGGGACTACCAAGGCCTGGTAAGTGACTTTCTTTTATTTATTTTTAAGTTTCTGACCTTTTCCCCCTCCAGAAGCCTCTAAGGGGAGGGAGGGGGCACTTTTTTCCTGTTCGTAACTTGAGGGAAGTTCGTATGTTGAGTATGTAATTTCCTATTGGGCAGGTTCGTAAGTTGAAAAGTTCGTATGTAGAACCATTCGTAAGTCGAGACCCCACTATATCTGGACCATGGGCATTTGATGAAACTAACCCTTTTGTTAATAATGTTTGGACTCCCTTGCAGTTGAAGTTTAGACCGCAAGAGACTTTAGAACCCGTTCCAAAAGACGTTCCAGTTAATGCTGAATTGTTAATAAACGAAGAGAAGGTTCAAAAGCTAAAACCGTCTCATACTTTATTGCAAGTGACAGACCCCCTTAACACCGAACCCTCACATATTGACGCCCAACCTGGCGGGCAGTCACACCGGCACACAGATATGGATAAATGGATATGACAAATAACAGAGGGTCAAGAACTACTGATGAAACAACTGGCAGATCAACAGCACTTGATTATAGAACTACAGAAAACTCAGATCACAACATGTGATGGTAGCGATGATGTCATCTGCCTGTCATTGCTGTGGCTAGAGTTCATCTGCCTATAGCATGACGGGAGGTGGGACTTCAGAGGGTGGAGTTATGGTATTTAAGGGGGGAGTGAATGAGGCGTGAGTCAAATAGGGTCTAAGATAGGGACAAGATATGAACTAGATAGGGTTTGGATAGGGACCTGATAGGGACTTAGGGAGTTAGGGTGTGTCCATGTTATGAAGTACTGTGTTATATATATAAAGTGAAGGTCTGAGAGAGAGTGTGTATGAGGGGATACTTTATCATTACAGATTGCCTTTTATTTTAGTTAATAAAGTGATTTACCATTCCTTTTGTTCTCACAAATAAATGTACATTTTTATTTCAAAAATCATATTTTTGTCTGAAGAGTTTTATGAGGGAATGTTTGGTGGCAGCGTGAATAGTGTGTGTGAGAGAGTGACGTGGCAGCTCCTTTGTGACGTGTGAGGAGGCTGTCACACAACAGTACCACCACCGTCGGGAGAAATAAGGGCACCGATTGCTACCAGACCCCCCATTAAGTTACAGAAAATGGGTCCCCAAGATGATCCGGCAGCATTCCTAAACACCTTTGAGAGAGTCACAATGTTGGCACAATGGCCAAAAGAGCAGTGGGCACTGATCGTAACCCCATACCTAACTGGGTTAACACAAGAAATAGTGGATACCCTGGAACCAGAAGACGAGGGAGATTATGAGAAAGAAAAAACAGCCATATTGAACACGCTTAACTTAAATGAAGAAGCATATTAACGGTGCTTCAGAGAGCTGAAATTAAAACCAGGGTTACATCCAAGGACTTTGGCACAGAAAATGAGAGTGAATGCCATGAGATGGGTACAACCAAAAGGGAAAACGGCAGAACAAGTATTAGAGTTGATAATCATGGAACAATTGATATCCACGCTGGGCTCGGGGCCCAGGAGTTGAAAAACAAATCCACCAGTGTAGAAGGCGCTGTTACCTTACTAGAAGACTATCTAGGAGCTGAAGACACGTGGCCAACCTATGACGCTGGGAGAGAAAACTCACTACAAAGAGAAGATGTAGGAGGCAGCGAGTCAAGGAGCTCCACGAGGTGGACCCAAACTGAGTGCAAAGAAACCGGGACCAGACCGGATAGAGTTTGTGAACCCGACCGGTATGAGAATCCAGCGCCAAACCATCACCACCGATCTGGTGAAAAGCAAGCTGGTGCCTACTTGGAATCTGGGCAAAGAAAGAATGTCTGCGTTCTTTGGCTGCTGCCAGTTCGGCCACATAAAAAAATTCTGCCCGGCAGAGGAGTGCGCATGGAGCACCCGAATTTTAGTAAAAGAAATGGAAGGACATTGCGTCCCCGAGACTGTAATAATCAAATGCATTCATGGCGATTCCAAAGAAAATGAAACACCTAAAGCGGATGTAATTACTGGGGATCAAAAAGCCAAACTAGCGGTGGGGATAGTCCCAGGTCTTTCCAGGGAAATGCTGTTAGGCAGAGACTGGCCAGGCCTTGAGGACCTCGCTGGAAGGGTGGAAGATGGGGGAAAGAAACAATTGGGAAAGAGAAGCAGAAGTGATGCAACTCTCTAGGGATCAGCTGCGAAATTTGCAGCAAGATGACCAATGCTTGAAAGAGCTATTGCAAATGGCGGTACCGGAAGGGGCCACACCGGACAATGAAGTGAAATTCAAAATGTGCCAGGGGTTAATATACTATGTCCACAAACATGTGGGAAAAGAAGAGGCCCTCTTGGTGGTGCCGGGACATTTGAGGCCATGGGTCATGCATTGGGCCCATGACTTGCCAATTGCGGTACACCTAGCTGCCCAGAAGACCCTAGCAAAGGTGAAACAGAGATTCTTCTGGTCTAAAATGATAAAGGAAATTGAAGAGTTTTGTAAATCTTGTCCAGAGTGCCAGCTTACCCAACCCAAAGCGGGCCCAGGGGCTGAATTGATTCCAATGCCCCTTGTTGATGGACCCTTTGATCGAATAGCCATGGACATTGTGGGTCCTCTGACTAAATCAGAAGGGGGACACCAGTATATATTGGTTTTAATCGACTATGCTACGCGTGACCCTGAAGCCATACCACTAAGATCTGCAACAGCAAAAGTTTTGGCAAAGGAGTTGCTAGGGGTGTTTCCCCGGGTGGGGTTCCCGAGGGTATTGTTGACAGACCAAGGGTCCAACTTCATGAGTTTGACCTTTAAGCAAATGTGGTAATTATTAGGGGTTAAACCCCTCAAAACCTCCATCTATCATCCTCAGGCAATCGGCCTGGTAGAAAGATTAAACTGCACCTTAAAAGGGATGTTAAGGAAAATGGTGTTGGAACAACCTAGAAAATGGCATATGTTTGTTAATCCTTTAATGTTTGCAGTTCGAGAAGCCCCTCAAGCTTTGATGGGCTTCTCACCTTTTGAGTTACTGTATGGGCGTTAGCCCAGGGGGCTTTTAGACCTGGTGACAGAAAAATGGGAGGAGGGTGAAGATACATCACAGAATGCTCTGCAACAAATTT